AAACCATTTCATAATTAAGCGGCAGTTATAAATCATGTGGTATAATGTTTTTCTCGGGAGGGCTAAATTGTAAACATTTTGGAAGCCTCACAATTTTTTATTATTTAAAATCAAAAGGTGCCATGCACGCCGGTAGAGGGTTGCAAGTAGGTGCACGTGCACCCCCCTAGCTTTTGAAAAAAAAGGAAATGGAAGAAAAAAAGAAAAAAAAATTTTTCAGTAATAAGAAAAAACGCGAAAAAATTGTTTTTATTTTAAATTTTTAAATTACAATTAGACATTTACATTTTACAACTATACATAAACAGTAATTTACGTTGATTCTTAAAGAGCAACTCAAGTCTTTTTTTTGTTGTTGTCCAAACCAATAATGTTTCACTAATATCTGCAGTCTCATCAGCCAACAAAGAAAAAACGGATGCTTTTTTAATCTCGCAGATTTTCTGTTCTTTGAGAATTTCTGCATAGGTTTGGATCAGTTCATTTTTAATCTGATGGGATATGTACAACGCATTTTTTGGTCCAGATTCCAAATGATTTTTTAAAACTTGATCACTTGATTCAAATTTTTCATAAGAATCAATAAATTTTTTTTTTTTTTTTTTATGTCAAATAAAAAGGGATCTACCACCTTAAACTAAATAAACATTTTTTTAAAATCTATTGCATTTAAATTATTTGCATATATGCTTATATATACCCTGCCCCCAAAAATAATATTTCATAATTTTAACAAGAAAAATATGTTGCTGCATAAAATATATAAATCAGTATAAATGACTGAGTCATTATTCAGTAATTACTGAGAGACAAAAAGTTACTGACAAGTCTGTCACAATTTTAAATGACTGAATCATAAAAAATAATCGTATATTAGGCTCAGGTACATACAATTACAAAAAAAAAGTTTTTGTTGCGTAGGGGGGAGGGGGCGTAGAAAGAAAAAAATCTCTTCATGCACCCCCCTGAATTAAATCCTGGCGGTGGTACTAAAAGAAGTATTTAAAAATACGTCGAGTTTTTTACATGCCACATAGAATTTACGAAGATTTTTTAAATTTACCTGTCAAACAGCATTTCACCTGTCAAAGTCGAGCTTGTTACTAGAGCATTTACAGCAATAGAGTTAAATATAAATGTTATTGATACAGCAGAAGAACAGAAAAAAAATCACTTAAATAATCATATACGGACAAACGAAATGCTTTGAATTTAATAGACCCAAACTCTGTACCTATGGAAAACAAAAAAGACTCAGAAGCTAAGTAGCTTAGTATAACTATGGGAAATTGTTTTTGTATATCTTTAAAAAAAATACTTTAATTCGGACTAAAGCAAGCAATGTCCAAAAAGTATTTTTATTTTTTGATAATGGTTTTGCAGGCCTATAATGCACTTTTGTTTTAAATAAATATTTTTTTGCAGATTTGATGTTTTTGATTCGCAAAAAATCAAGAAAAAAATTGTCTTTAGTAAGTTTGGCTTTAGTAAGATTGCCTTTATTAAAAGCCACATACTTTCTGCTTGTTGTAAATTATTATTCATATCAAAAGCTAAAAAATTTAATGAAAATATTGAAGCATTCCTGATCTTGTGAAGTTATCTTTTGAAATACTTTCTAGCCATTCTAATGCTGATAAGACAATATATTTAAAAAAGATGGTATTGACCTATAAAACAATTAAAAATATAGTAAGTACATAAGAGATTGAGCCAAAAACATAATCTAGTTTCAAATAAGAAAGGAGAGAATAACATCACAATATATATACCAAAGTTAACAGTCTTTCTAGATATACCAGTTCTAAAGGATATAAAACAATTCCTCTTGTTGCTTATTCCCTCATATTAAAAATATTGTTACTGCTTCTATCAAATGGCGAATTAATCACGAGCAGGATGCTATAAAAAAATTCTATGCAGAGCATGTATCAAAACACATTGATGTTGAAAAATGTGGTCTTTTTATTTTTTATAATAGACCATATCTTATTTGTTCCCTAGATGGATTTATAGTATGCAAATGCCATGAAAAGGTGTGTTTGAAAGTTAAATGTTCTTTTATAATTTTTAATAAGACAATAAAAGTAGGAGCTAGTGACTATGACTTTTTGATTAAATAGAATTAAATGAAATCAATCGTTATCTTGAATTTTTTCTTATCAGTTATAACATTTAGTTCCTTACTAAAATACCTTGTTAAAACATTAGACAACTTTTGCAGTGTTTTTTGGATCGTTGTCTTGCTGAAAAACCCATTTTATTGGCATATTCCGGATATTTTTATACATGAAATGCATATTCAGGATATTTTTATACATAAAACGGTCGATTATTCCATCGATTCGATGTATTGGATCTAGACCGTTAGCAGAAAAACACCCCCAGACCATTACATTGCCTTCACCATGCTTCATGGTCTTATGGCAGTAACGTAAACCAAGGCATTTTCCGGCCGGTCGACATACACGGCAAATGCCATTGCTCCAAATGATGTTGAACTTCGATTCATCACTGAACATGACAGTTCACTATTTCTGCATATTCCATTCAGTATGAGATGTATCAAACAGGAGTCTTTTCTTCTGGTTCTTTAGTAAAATCAGCGGTTTCTTTGCAGGGCGTCGAGAAAACAATCCGGCTTTAACAGCACCTCGTCTGATTGTTCGGTCTAATACAGGCAGCTCTAATTGCTTTTGTATCTCGACTGATGATATCCAGGGATCTCTCTTGACGGATCTGATTATCATAGAATCCTTTCTAGAAGTGGTGGAACGCGGTCTTCCACTTTTGTTATCTGCTGCCAACTTCCCCGTAGAACGATATTTGGAACATAGTCTTGATACGGTCCATTTTTTCACGCGATATTTATCACAAATACTTTTTTGTGACATTCCACTTACGTATTTGCCAATAGTTTTCTTTCTTAGTTCCAATCCAAGACTGTCGGGAACCATTTTTGTACTTGGATGCTTCTGAATGTTTCTGGATACTTCTGGATGCTTCCAGATGCTTCTTCTGGAAACTTCTGGAAACTTCTGCATGCTTCTGGAAACTTCTGGATATTTCCTTTATTTATTAAAAAAACTTCTGTGACGTTGTAACGGACCAGACTTAAGAAAATGAAACAAACCAAAACAGTTGCACTTGTTTTGTCCGCAGCAAAATGGCACTTGTCAACGAAATTCTGCCTGTGTGCTGTCACCTGTCAGCTGATTGCTCATGTCATGGCATGCTATGACTCTAGACCCCTGAACTGTTTGCTGTGGTAGTATAGTTGGTTTAGTTTTTAAGACATGTAAAATTAGGAACACTTTTTAGCATTGTGTGATGTTGGTTGCATATGTTTTGTCCAATACTGTGTATGTATATATATATATATATATATATATATATATATATATATATATATATATATATATATATATATATATATATATATATATATATAAACGTCAACATTAATTTATATATATGAGGCTGTCAACGCTTGATCATCGGAACAAAAATCATGTTTGTGTTCATTGTGGTTTGATATTTTAATAATCACGGAAGATTTTTTTTATGTTATATAATTTCGGAATAACTATGTTTGGTCGCATACAATGGTTGAGTTTAGTTCGTAAAAACAAGCAACTTTTTGCGATGTATTTACTTACATCGAATCAACGTTGATTAATATGCGTTGAGTCAACGTCGAAATATATACATTGGATCAACGTTAGGTTTAGATCGTAAAAAAAATCAAAACGTTGGTTTTGCATTGGAAAAAAAAGTCGACGTTTGAGATGGTTTTACATACGTTGGCCCAATGTAAATGTGCTAGCTGGGGTTAAATTAATCTTTTTTTTTCTTTTTTGACAAAAATTTGTATTTCTTGTAATATTTTGTCTTTTTTTTTTTGTATTTTTAAAAGATTTTACAATTAAAAACTTGATTGAAATTTTTAAATTCAAGTGAATAGACATGGTTTTAAAACTACTTATTTCTTTACAGATCCTTTAGCCCTTAATTGATATAAATTCGTTTTTAATAATAATGATCTAAAGTTTAAACAGTAGGTAAACGTAATTTAAACATCAAGGACACTTGATGTTTCAAAAAATATTTCAGAACAATCTATAATGATTTTTGGCCTTGTAGACATAGTTACATAATTGCCCGAACTGTGTTGCGGGAAGGCCACAAAATCAAGCTCTTTAGATAATAATAATATATCAATCGTCACTAAAAAGTTCGTTATAAAATTTTAAAAATTACGCATCTACACGAAAAAATTACAAATTTCTAAAGAAAATAATAAACTTAAATAAGACTCAATTATGTCAAATACCCAACTAGCCAACTAAATTCGTAATAAATTCGACTATAACTTGAAAATCACCTTCTTTGATAGTGGGGTGGGGTGGGGTGGGGTGGGGTGAAACACCCTCTAAAATCGCCTCTGAATGGGCAGAACAGTAGCAAGTTTGTAAGTATAATATACTTTGTGATTTAATTTCTATTACAGGCAAATTACTATATTTTTTATCATGTTGTTGTACAGGAAAACTCGTAGAAGTCTATGAAGACTTGTAGAGTAATATATAATACTATAAGTCTTTGATCATCGAATACCTCTTTAAATCGTTAAACAGAGTTTAATTCATTTTTATACATAGTCAAAAGTGGTTAAACAATAAACAGTCAATGGTACACATAAATATTTTAGTATAAATTTTGTTGTTAAGTTTAATACATGTCTATATAATTGTTGCTATTAAATATGAGGTGTTTTTATTTAATTTTCAAGTTGGCAGGATTAATAAATACTTTAAGTTTTATATTTTTGAATATTATTTTGTTATATAGCTACGGACCCCGGCAGGAAATAAAAAACCGTGAGAACTTTGTTGTTAATTTAGACAATGCGAAGTTGTCTGTTGCTCATGTTATATGCCTATTAGAGTTAACTTTATCTAAAAAATGCAATGGGACTAGTCCGAGTTTGTATTTAAGAA